AAGCGATTCGGGGGCTCCCTTTATTTTGCAAGAATACAAATGAGTATATTACTAAAATAGTAGACATTTTAGGGCAGCTACTTACTACTGGTAAAACTATAGTTCTTTTTCAATAATTTGTACCATAACTATTTCAAAGAATGTGTTTATGTTGTGTATTTAGCCTTGCCTTCGCTTTGTTTCTTATAGATGAGATTGTGGAGCGTGATGCTGTTTATAAAGCCCTGATGTCTGTATTAAGGCAGGATGTGAAAGGTAATGTTGCATTCTCGTGAAACCTTGTTAAGGCTTTTGTAATGGCGAAATTTGAGTGCAAGTTATAGGAAGTATTACATGCTTGTGTTCTTAGCCTTGTTGATTAGATTGTCTTGTGAATGTAGAGTCCTTGACAGCACTATTCAAGCACATTTGAAATGTTGAGGAATCAAGTCAATATGACATTATTCGTGACAAGGTTTTATGCTTTATACGAGATAAGGTGAAGACTGCTTCTTTGTTTACCTGTTGTTGATATTCTTGTGCTTTGTACTGCGATGATAATTGAGGGGAAATCAACTATGTTTTTAGGTTTTTCCAATTAAAGCTGAACTCTTCAGACCTCAAGACAAAATGGAAAGACACGTAACTGATTTAATTAAAAAGGTACTGTGTTTTGGTTTGCTACAGCATTCATAATCAATCTGATCTCTCCTTCCCCCAACATAGTTAACTTTCAATTTTGAGCTCGGAATGCTAGATGCAGAATTGATTTTATTCAATTCCATTGAGAGTTTAGGAGATGTAACTGGAGCCGAATTCCGAATGTTTATAGACTTCTTATAAAGTTTGAGCATATTTGGGAAGAAAGCTCCTCCTGAGCGCTTGATGGAACTTATTGGAATAATTGAAGGGCAGGCTGATTTAGATGCACAATTTGATGTGAGTTTTTGTTCGCTGAATATTGTTTTTGGATATTTTCTTAATGATGCAGAAGCTGTAATACTTTACCTCTTTGCATAAATTAGTTTAGTTATTCATTAGAAGGGAAGTGGTACCATAAAATATTAAAAAGTAGTTTTACTAGTCAACATTGTCTCTTTGAGGTTCACCATTCCATTGTCATTGTTGTGAAATACTGAAATATGTAACTCTTCGAAATGCTTTTGAATGCAGGTCTCAGATGCAGATCATATAGATAGGTTGATATCATGCCAGTTCATTGCTCTTCCACTTTTTGCGGTAGGGGCTGCATTTGATATTACTGAATATCTGTTTTCCGTCCATTAAATATTCTTCTGATATATATAGCTCTTTGAGCTGTCTCTCACCTCTTAATCATTTTTCAGAGGGGTGCATCTGGCAGCAAGTTCCTCAACTACCTAAACAAACACATTATACCTGTTTTTGATAAGGTGACATACTATTTGTGTCCTCAATGACTGCAACACGTGTAATCTAAGTTTTTTTTTTGTTAAACCTGATTTAAGTACTGTATAAACACACTTAAATTCACTTAGGTGGCGTTTGGTTGGCATGAATCCCTTAGAATTAGGGGGAATTGGAATCCAATTTCATCACTTTCTCATGTTTGGTTCAAGTTTTCCAAGGGAATTGGAATCCCTCATGGCTTCAACTTTCTATCAAATGAGGGAAAGTGAATTACATCCAAGAATGGATAGAAATCAATTCCCTTGGAGGGAATTGAAATTTGACCATACTACCCTCATCAATATTTTGGTAACTTATTCATATATTGAATAAAAATATTTTTTTTATTTCGGGTCGGGTGAAATTTTATTTTGGTCGGGTCTGGTCGGTTTTTTTTAAGTGTGATATTTGGGCCGGGTCGAGTTCGGGTTTAGGGTGAAAAATACCCGACCCGAAAATATATATAATTTTACCTTATATATTTAGGAATAATTACAATAATACCCCTCTATATATAATTTTTTCAATTAAGTCATTGTTTTTATTGAATAAAAATATTTTTTTATTATTTTCGGTCAGGTCGGATTTCTAATTCATATATTCGGGTCGGGTCGGTTTTTTTTAAGTGTGATATTCGGGTCGGGTCGGGTTTAGGGTGAAAAATACCCGACCCGATCCAAAAAATATATAATTTTACCTTATATATTTAGGAATAATTATAATAACCCCTCTCTCTATATATATATATATATATTTTTCCAATTAAGTCATTGTTTTTATTGAATAAAAATAATTTTTTAATTATTTCGGGTCGAGTCGGTTTCTAATTCATATATTCGGGTTGGGTGAAACTTTATTTTGGTCGGGTCAGGTCTCGGATGGAGGTTCCCTTGTTCTCGGGTCGGGTCGGGTCGGGTGGACCAAAAACCCGACCCATGACCATCCCTAATTGGGATGATTTTAACTTATGATATTTATTAGCATGATTTTTATAATTTATTGAAATGAATAATCAATCAATAAAATTAAAAGTTTTTTTTTAAATTTTTTATAATATATTGCTACATGTAATTTATAAAACAAACTAAAATTAAACAAAAAAAAAAAGAAGGACAATCCTGTCATTTTACATTACTGAAATCAAATTCATCTGACATGTCTGCGAACCAAACAGAATATGAAATTAGATTCCAATTCAATTTTCTGCCAACCAAACAGAATATGGAATTTGATTCCAATTCTTGACAAATTTCAATTCCTTCACAGATTCCAATTCCCTCAGAAATATTCCAGCGAACCAAATGCCACCTTAGTTAATTTTGTTAAACCTGATTTAAGTACTATATAAACACACTTTAATTCACTTAGGGTGCGTTTGGTTCAAGGAATGTAAGATTATCAGTGGGAATAAAAGATTACCAGGGAATAAGATTAATGGGAATGTTACATTACTGTGTTTGGTTGGTTTGGCAGAAATGTAATATTACAATATTTGGTTGAAGGAATAAAAGATTACTGGAATGTATATTTTACCAAATTATCCTTGTTCTATATTTATTTTTTTAACAAGTGAAATTCTAAATATTTAAATAAAAATTATTTATATAAAAAATTTATTTGTTGATAATATATTACTTGAGTATTTAAATATATCATGCATTATTTTAATTAATATTAAATTTTACATAATTTATGTAAAAATATATTAAAATTTTACATCAACATTTAACTAAATGTTTACATTGTGGAAATTCTTCATAGATATTTATAATAATAAAAAGATGTAAATTATTTTTGTTATCTACGATATAATATTTACTATATCTTCTATATACAATAATTTACTTATTTTCTTTTATATTTATACTTAATTCTACCTACTTTATCATTATTATTTATCTCATTAATTTATATTACAAAAACATAATTTAAATAAGTAAGAAAATATAATACTAAAAATCATATTATTTTGTGCTCATTGTTTGATTCTTTCTACCGTCCCTTCATGTATTTTTGTGTTCATTGAGATTTAGAAAACACGCGAATAAAACCAAAGTTAATACGTGTCAAGTGTGCCCCCGACGCAAATCAATTTTTGTTGCATAATCTTTGTGCAGGGTAAAGCGAACTGCTGCCGGTAATGGGTCCAATAATTCGGCGACGAAGAAAGGTGGTGGAGCTGGAGGCATGCAAAACCAGCTTGTCAATAGAGCATTTGAAGGTATATCAAATGGTGGAAGAGGCAGGGGAGGGGTTGATCAGGACGTGGAAGAGGAAGAAGCTACTGGTAGTTCAATCCGTGCATCAAACTATGACGACGATTAAAATTTCAAGAATCCATTTTTTCCTCAAGAACATGGAGAAAAACCATTAACATGTTAAAAACCTAATCTCGTTTCGGGACAAGTTTTGCTCGATAAAGACGCTGGTGAGTTCTCTAGATTCATTTTAACTAAAAGGGTATTTGACTAAAAACCATTAACCTTTTATTTTGCTAGGTAAAAGGGAGTTGTCATGGGTATTTGGTTTTGTAAGTTAAGTAATAACTTGATTCCAACAATGTTCCGTATCTCAGTTGGTTAGAGCGTTGGTCTTATGAGCCGAAGGTCGCGGGTTCTCGAGCCCCGCCCACCAATGCTGTGCAATTGGATGAAGCATGAAATAGGTTTGAAAAGTTTTTAACAGTTTGTTCAAAAATTGTCTTCACCATAGGTAGGGTTGTCAATATCATTACTCTTCTTCAAGGGTATTAAAACGTTTCATCCAAACTCATTTTGTTGTCTTCATCTTCTTCATTAACCACATTAGTTTAGTTTCAAATTCTTCTCATTTTGGCTATCATGGCATATTTATCGCTATTCACCGATGGTAATGTTTGCCGGAAGCTCTAACCGAAGTTTATGTTGCACGGTTGTCGGTGCTTCTGAATTAAAACTCAAACCCCAAACCTTAGCATAAAAGCAAGGAACACTTACAAAATACTCTTTACATTTAATATATATTTTTGAAATCCAAATAAATAATTAATGCATTGCTAATAAAATTAGGATTGCCTTTTGGCATTACTTAATGAACAATTATTAATTCATTTATTAGCCAGAAAAGCAGTTGATGTAATCCATGTGGTGCGTTTGTTATTGGACTTCCAAGGTTTTTTTCAACTTCGGTATAATTTGGTTTCAGTGCATCTACTATGCTGAAGTTTTTATTGTTAATCCCTCTACTCTTATAACATTGTTAATAAATTCAAACTAATAACACCGATAGTGCTTTAATTAAAGTCATTACATAATTTATTTTTCTGTTGTTCGATCGTACAATCAAGTGACATAAAAATATGTCAATTATATTAATCGATAATAAATTATTAATTTTTGTCGGATTCATAAGGCTATTTTGAAGAAAAATATTAATTTAACGGCAACAACAACTAGCGGTATTATAAATTTGAACCTATTAAAAATAGAGATCAAATTGCGTAAAATTAAAGTAGATGGACTAAATATCAAGTTTCAGCATAGTGAAGGGATTATTAGAGCTTTACATTTTACCTACCGTTCATAATTGAAAGGTCAGCCATGGCTGCTGTAAAACCATAAATAAGACATCCGCGAGCACACAGAACAGGAAGAAACAGGACATCATGGGTTCTTACAACAATCCAAATCCTGGATCTGAGGCCCTTGTCAACTTAGCTCAAAGGCTTCGCCTTTATAAACCAACTCGCATTCATCAAATCCCAGACTCAGTTTCCCGTGAAACACGATTTCCCGTTGTAAAATCCATCAGCAACACCCCGGAATCAGATCACCGACATCCTCAAAATCTCAAGAGAGCTGCTGTTCTTGTCTGTGTTTTTCAAGGAAACAATGGCGATCTCCGTGTTATACTCACCAAACGTTCATCAACTCTCTCGTCTCACTCCGGTGAGTTAGTACAGATTTCGAAAAACATATAGATTTGAACCGCTGATTTTTGTTAATTTATTACATATGAATTGTTTAACTACTGATTTTTGCTAATTTATTGTATACAAATCGTTGAACTGTTAGATTTCATAAACCGGAGTGATGAAATTCAGACTTAGAATATATATAACATATGTTATGATGTTTTCTTTTGGTTAAAATATGTTTCATGTCCTTGGTATTCTTCTGACATTTGAAATTAGTCCCTCTATTTTTCGGATTAAAAATTCAATTCTAATTGTTAACCTCTAACAAAAAAGAATGTCAAGTCAACGAATCTAACCCAAAAATATTAAGGGTATAAATAATTAGACTTCAAATTTGAGATCTGAAAAGTAGAGGGACTAAATTTCTAACATACGAAAAGTACAGGGACTTTGAACATATTTTAACCTTTTCTTTCTTTCCCGGTGTTTATAAAGTGTTTGATTTTAGGTGAAGTTGCTTTGCCTGGAGGGAAACGTGATGAAACTGATGCTGATGATGTAGATACTGCATTGAGGGAGGCCAAAGAAGAAATTGGCTTGGACCCTTCCCTTGTCAATGTTGTTGTTGTCCTTGATCCAATTTTCACCAAGGTTCATCTAATCGAAATCCGCATATATATATATAGATTTCTACATGTTCATGTTAGTTCGTGTATTTGTGCTTTGCTTGTCGGTTTGTGCTTTGTGTTATGTCGTATAGTAATCGTGCCATAATTGGGTCGAGATCATGTGGACGAAAATCTTGAAACTGAGCAAACTATATCAATATGATCAGATGATGGAAAATCCACAGATTTTGGTTTGATAGATGCCGGTTTTTTTCCGCTCGCAGCATCGCATGATCGTCGTCCCTGTGGTGGGCATACTATCCGATGCAGAGGCGTTCAAGCCATCTCCATGTGCAGATGAAGTGGAAGTTATATTTGATGCTCCTCTAGAGATGTTTCTCAAGGTAGTATTTTCGTTACTGGTTTGGAGGAATCATGTTGCTTTACATGGCGATGATTTTCGGGTTTATTTTACGCCGAATGCAGGACGAAAACCGATGGGCAGAGGAGAAAGAATGGAAGGGAGAAAAATATTTACTTCATTACTTCGATTATGAAACAGAAAACGTCAGGTATCTGATATGGGCTTTAACTGCTGGTGTCTTGATCAGGGTTGCATCCGTAGTTTACGAGCGACCGCCGGCTTTTTTAGAGCTCAGGCCGAAATTCTGGGATATGGCGATTACCGAAGATGTCTCTGTGGGGTGAGTTCATGGCATTCCCATGTTTTCTTTACAGTCCTATCATAGAAGATTGTTTATTTTTATTTTTATGTAAAACAACTTTGATTAGAAATTGATGTCTTTCCCGTACTCGTCATCGAACAGTTCAAATACCACAAATCACTATGAATAACATTCTTTTTAGAACATCTTCGGGTCTTGAATATATTTGCAGCAACTTCGACCAGGAGTTCGAATGTCAACGATTGTATCGAAAGGGAGGCTAGCAAAATATGACGGGGGAACCAAAATGAGAAAAGAAAATGAGATAATTGCGTAGGAGGTCCCCGAACCATGATCTCCATTTTAAATTGATCTTTAAAATTTTGAAATATTTTATATTCATACTCAAATTATGAAAGCACCTTTAAATTACTCTTATACTTTAATATTTTATATATCAATTTTCAATCTATGGTATCTTTTCATTTTGATTCTTTTATTAATGCGTTATTTACTTTATTGGTTAAAAAATCAACCACGTTAATTTTTAAGATCATCGAGGTCCTAATTGTAAGAATCACCAAAGACAAACTCGGTTTTAGGTAGTTAACCGAACCAATGACCAAACAGTTGTGGATTTCTCGGTTCCCGTATCACCTTCCGATCTTGGGATCGATCACATTCAAATTCATCTCATCTTGTCCCACTAGCAGCAAATGGATTCACTGGTTTTGACGTTCTTTAGGAGCAAGCTTCTGAGCCAAAAAAAAAATCATTAAAATTAGAAGTTTAATCATGCTCCCATCCATGTACTCTTAGTGCTTTTAATTTGGTCCCCCTAATCTGACTTCAAGGAATATAGTCCTCCACTTGTTTAATTTGAAAATTAAAGTCTAATTGATAACACTACAAGTGGATTTTGGTTAGCTTGAATTTAAACCGAAAAGCTATATTTACAATTCTCCTAATTCAATAGTACTCTATACTAATTCTTGTCTGATAAAACATTAGGTACATGGTTACTAACTCTAATCTTAATATTGTGAATAGAAAAAACTGATTTAGAAGGATGGTCTCGTATAATAAATTTATATATATATTTTAAAAATTAAACAAACTTAATTATTAATAACATCCAAAACAGTAAGATTCAAAATATCATAAATAAACTAAATAGGAGAACGACAATTAGAAGCTTAATGAGCTAAGGCATAAGCGACACTATTTGCGTCTCAGCAGATGAAAGTAACTTTAATCCCAAGATGTAAGGCTAGTAATCTACGAGCTTCAAACATATGCATTATTTATTAATAATCACGTTACGTTATATGAAAAGTAAATTTAATGAACTTCTATAGGTAAAAAATTAATCGAACACAACTAAATATAAACATATTCATTATTTATTAATGATCACATTACATTATATCGTACAAACCATAGGGAATCATTTATTAAGACAAGACAAACCGAATTACGTCCTAAGAGTTGTTGAGATGTATGCATCTGTCAAACAACTTACTATTTAATTATTAATATTATAACATTGTTCCCTTAAACAAGCCGACAACACACACACATGCACGTGTGTGAATAATTAAGGAGTTGGAACAAACTTCCAGTGGCTGTTGTCCATTTGAACCATATTGCTGTGTTTGGCACCGTCCCACCATCTTGGAGGTATGTTATAGAAGTCTTTGAGGGCATCCAAATATTTGTTTACAAGTGCAAAATCATGGTCCACTTCAAAACCAAATCCAGTTTGGTCCAAAGCAATTGCATGCAGGTGAAGATCCAAATTATGAGCAGCCAAGTCTATGGTATTACCCCGTATGGTCTCGGAAACATCCTCCGGCGGTGGTTGTTTCACCTGAGACTTTAGGAAACCAGACTTACTGCTATCGATTTTCAGCTCTTGTCCCAAGTGGGTGTAAGGCCAAAAGAATATTCCAAATGGAAGCGAAGGAACAACATCCTTATTGTTTACGATCCGTAGGATATGAAGCTGATCTTGGAACGAATCGTATATTTGCTTTAAACCATCGTTCCCGACACGTGGGCTGGCGTACACAAACGCCGTGACCATGCAACCGGTGGGGAGTTTTGAACTGCCAGTCGGCTTGTTATAACAATTGGCCACGATGTCCATTGCGTTCAACGTCGCCAAGGCTGCCCCTAAACTGTACCCCACAATGGTGATGCTTATCTCCTCGCCCTTGTACTTGTCGACCAGCTCCCGCACTGCTTTCAAAACCTAAACAAAGGTCGATTGCTTCTTAATATATATATAGTTAAAAGGATCGCAAATCAAGTATCAGGATTCGAGATTTGACCTACCTGTTGTCGAGCACTGATAGGGGTTTTGGAGTTGGTTCCGGTGTAAAGAGAAAGGAAGCCGGAGTGAACTTTAGCGTTGTTATCATCACCAAATAGTTCCGACGGCGATGCTTGAAGGAAGTTGATATTTTTTATCCACTCGGCATCTGTTTCCGTCCCTCTCCAAGCAACCAAAATATCTCTCCTTCCAAGACCAACTTTTCCCTCATCCGTACTCACCGCCACATAGCCGAACCATGCCGATTCATTAGCATTGGAGGCGATGTCGAAGAAGTGAGTGACGACGTACTTGAATATATTATTGTTTTGGAGAGTGGCACCGGTGAAAAACACGTCTTCTGGGTATAGACTATGGAGGTAGCCATTAGATTGGTTGTCTTTGTTTAGGAGGTCTCCGACGGCCATGGTTCTTTGACCGTAATGAATGGCATAGCGACGGAGATCGGAATCGATAGGGTCAAGTAGACCCTCCCAGTTCTTCTCACCACTCAGTTCCCTCCAACGAGATGCAATGGAGATGGCCATCACCTTTATTTCTTCTTCTTTTTTATGAATAATTTGCGTTGTTGTTTGTGGGATTGCGGTTAGTAGCTTAAGTTTGGTTGCTTTATATAGTGCTCTCTCCTCTTAAAGAAAACAAATGTTATTTGATAAGTATGAGACTTGTTTATTGCCCTTAATTAGTAACATATGATTGAGGCGGCTATACAATTTGTATTCGAATTTTGTATTGTTTGATTTAAAAGGTTTATATTACGATTCGTTTAGTAAATAATTAGAGTTAAAAAAAAGAATAAATAATTTACGATGGATACAAAGGTTTTCTCATTAATAAAGTTTAATATTTAGGGATTATTGTTCATAAACTCATATGTATATATTTAAAAAAAATCTCACATCTTCCTTATAATCTTATATTAATTATATTAAATTTGTTATTTTCTGTTACCTTTTTTTTATATAAATCTATGTAAATTTACTGTCTATAATTTAGGATTTGTTATTACGAACGATGAATTAGGGTTTTCTATTATCCCACCAACTCTTTAATTTGACATTCTTTAAAGGTGGTGTTATTTATTTATTTGAACGATCTTATCTTTACTGGGTTTTTTCTTCTTTTGTTCGCAGTGATCTGTATTTGCTTATGCTTTGGAGACTTATACATTTAGCATGGAACATTCGAAAAACGTGTTAGACTGCAATTATTATTTATTATCAACTTGTAAGCACTGATTGTAGTATTTATACATTTAACCCAAATTATGAAAAAAAAAGACTTGTTTTAAAATTATTCACATGGTTGGTTTTTATAATTTAACGCGGTTATTCTTTTTATCATTTCAATTTTTAGATCGTATCATTTAAAAACAACGATATCTACTATAAATCTTATAGTTGAAATATCTAATTTTATTTATTTAAATTATCCTTAGATTATATTTGTAACACCCCCTACCCATACCCGACCCGGATATGAGTCAGAGATACTACATTGACTTTAAAACACAACTCTTAATAAATAATAGTAAAATATTTGAACTTATATTAAGAAAATACAATAATATACATACTGTAATATAAGTTCACCAAAATATTCAGAGCATACACAACTTAACCCTTTAATTACATGCCAACTGCTATTTACATAACAAAATGACCTACTGATTAAGTTGCTTCTGATCTGGTGGTTGCAGGAGTAATGCTGTCAAGCTGCTTCACCTGTCTCGTCTAATTCCTCGGATCCTACGTGTGAAACACTCACACGCTAAGTCATCGACTTAGTGAGGCAATAATAATAACAAGGCAATGTAATGAAATGAAAATGTCAGGATCATATGAGATGAGATGCAAACATGTACTTAATCAATGTAGTATACATCATCAATATCCATACCTGTAAGCGTATGACTGTAACATTCATGAATCTGTATTAATAAGTTTATTGGCCCATGATAGCATATTGAGAACCTAAGGTATCGGAGTAATGTGAGGTTGTGCACTATGCTGTCACCACAGCTCGTATAAATGCACCGAAGTGCCCCGTAGAATTGCACCGTAGTGCCATATAATGATGTCCATAAGGACCACATAGAATTCCTTAAGAATCATATACATATACTATGGATCAAGTATGTGTCTTTCAAGACTTCACACAGGTTCCAAAGGATATACATATGTCCTAAAGAACCGCGTAGAATTGCACCGTAGTGCCATATAATGATGTCCATAAGGACCACATAGAATTCCTTAAGAATCATATACATATACTATGGATCAAGTATGTTTCTTTCAAGACTTCACACAGGTTCCAAAGGATATACATATGTCCTAAAGAACCGCGTAGACCCTCTACCCTTGGCATGCCAATTATACCTATAGTTCTCATCTACATAACATGGGCTTTTACATTTCACGTAGTCTATATCGCGTAGACATGTAATTTCTTACCTTTTCACATAGCTCATAATTTTTCCCACATATTCATGTCATATAATGCATTTTATATGAATTCATGTCATGTCTCATAATACAGAATATGCTCATGTATCAAGATATAAATCTAGACTTATCACAAGTCTAGAATGCAGGATATTTCTATAATCATGCTATGCATATGCACTCACCTATACTTCTTTGCCTTTTCCTCGATCGATCCTACTTGTAGATTGTTCCCGAACTCGAGTAGGCTCGGTATCTACATAAACATAATTTTCAAGATGATCATCAGATGTCTATGTCTTGAAATTATGCTTTAATAGCTTACTAATTTAAGGAATTTATAGCTTAGTCTTTCTTTCTTTTCTTTCTTTTTTTTTTCTCATGGGGGAATCGGTTCCCCCTCCTGGGGGTATCGATTCCCCTCAAGCATTCTGGAATTTCATATACGATGAGGGGGTATCGGTTCCCCCCTGGGGGTATCGATTCCCCTCTAGCCTTCTGGAAATTCATATTCGTTGAGGGGGTATCGGTTCCCCTTGAATGGGTACCGATTCCCCTAACCCAGAAATCCTATTTTGAGCCCGGAAATCATCTCATTTCAGCTCAAACATACATATTTCAATCCCTTTAATACTCTTAGCTCTCATACACTTACTTAAACTAATTATTATCCATTCAATACCTCTAAAACTAAGAAAACTACTCATCCATATAGAATTGAAGAATCTTACTCCAATTCCAACTTGTTCTAATTTCAATTCTATTACTTCATACTTCTTAATTAGCTTATTGACAAGTCAAAAATCTGATTCAAACATCAAAAACTCATCCATATCAAAATTTCATCTAAAAACTCATTTTCCAAATCTATCTCTAAAACACTTATCTTGTAGTTTTAATGTCATATAAGCTTTCCTTTAGCTTATATAACATACAAACTTCATTTCCAATCTTAAAAATCAAAGAAACTACCAAGGTTCAGTTTCTTACCTTACTTGCAAGCTCCACGTTTGGAGAAGGAAGAGAAGAAGATAAGAAAGAAGAAATGAGAGTATTCTGGAAACCTAATACCCACGTGATTTCTAATATAATCCCCAAGGAATATTTATTTCATTTACTCAATTACTCTTTTACCCTCTTAATTCCCCTTCTTTATAATTACATCCTACACCAAATAACTCAAATAGATCATTACACTCTTCCATCATTTTACTTAAATCACCAAATATTGAAACTTTGCAAATTAATCACTAACCCGGCATGGAGGATGTTACAAATCTCTCCCCCTTAAGAAAATTCGTCCTCGAATTTTTCATTGTACGAACAAATGAGGGTATTGATGTCGCATATCCTCTTCACGCTCCCACGTTGCTTCTTCTACTTTGTGATTTCTCCACAACACTTTGACCAAAGGAATAGTCTTGTTCCTCAATTGCTTAACTTCATGGGCTAAAATTTGAATCGGTTCTTCCTCATAAGTCATATCTGGTTGTACCTCGATCTCTTCTGGATTTATGATATGGGAGGGATCCGATCGATATCTTCGAAGCATTGAAACGTGAAAGACATCATGTATCTTTTCCATCTCAGGTGGTAAAGCTAGCTGATATGCTACCGGTCCTACTCTCTTTACAATCTCATATGGTCCAATAAACCGAGGACTCAATTTTCCTTTCCGACCAAATCTCAACACCTTCTTCCATGGAGACACTTTTAAAAACACTTTATCTCCAACTTGAAATTCAATTTCTTTCCTTTTTAGATCTGCATATGATTTCTGCCTGTCTGCTGCAGCTTTGAGATTACTCTGAATTATCCGGACCTTTTCTTCTACTTCCTGAATCAACTCAGGACCAAGCACTTCTTTATCTTTAAGCTCATACCAGTTCAAAGGCGTACGACATTTCCTTCCATAAAGAGCTTCATAGGGAGCCATCTTTATACTCGACTGATAACTATTGTTGTAAGCGAACTCTGCCAGCGGTAAATACTTTAGGATTTGTTATTACGAACGATGAATTAGGGTTTTCTATTATCCCACCAACTCTTTAATTTGACATTCTTTAAAGGTGGTGTTATTTATTTATTTGACTATTATCCCACCAACTCTTTAATTTGGCATTCTTTAAAGGTGGTGTTATTTATTTATTTGAACGATCTTATCTTTACTGGGTTTTTTCTTCTTTTGTTCGCAGTGATCTGTATTTGCTTATGCTTTGGAGACTTATACATTTAGCATGGAACATTCGAAAAACGTGTTAGACTGCAATTATTATTTATTATCAACTTGTAAGCACTGATTGTAGTATTTATACATTTAACCCAAATTATGAAAAAAAAGACTTGTTTTAAAATTATTCACATGGTTGGTTTTTATAATTTAACGCGGTTATTCTTTTTATCATTTCAATTTTTAGATCGTATCATTTAAAAACAACGATATCTACTATAAATCTTATAGTTGAAATATCTAATTTTATTTATTTAAATTATCCTTAGATTATATTGTTTTACGATACAAACTCATTTCAAAAACCCTATCAGTGTTATTATAATAGTAAAAACCAGAATTATAGGGGCATTCTATTTTCATCTAGATATCAAAACAAAGAGTATAGTTATGTGAACTTATTAAGCGATCTCAGTGATAAAGATAATACAATTTTCTTTAGAGACAATGGGTTTGAACAACTGTGTCTATACGTTGTGTATACATTGTCAATTAATTAAGAAAATTTTGAATATATATTACTTTATAATTATTTCAGATTATTCAAAAAAGAACATAGCTATATATATAATAGCATATATCATGCATGCGTGTATATATTTATGCATGTTTGCATCGATTTCACTTTATCATTCACTAAATCTGTAATTTATATATATCATTCACTAAATTCGATGGTTTGTTTTTTGCTAGATAGAATAAAATGGGGTTATTGGTGAGATAGAAACATTAATTCTTATAATTAATAAATGATTGACCAACTAAATTAATTCATATATATTATCCATTGGATTTTATCTCAGTTTGTATTAATACATACATTAATTTAAAAAGGGTAAACCACATATTAGTACATAAACTATCAGTTTTTATCCGTTTTAGTATCTAAACTTTTAATTTTTGTAAAATTATACATAAAATTTAGTTTTTATTTCATTTTAGTACTCACCATTAAATTTTGAAAAAAAATGAAAATCTAGGTACCGAAACACGTTTAGTACCTAAATCATATTAAAGTTTTGATTTTTTTGTTGTTGAAAATTTAGGTACTAAAATAGATCAAAACTGATAGTTTAGGTACTAAACGCGTTAAGTTTTTAACAGCGTGTATTAAAATAAAACAAAAAGTAAACTTTAGGTATCGTTTTGAGAAAAATGAAAATTTAAGTACTAAAGTAGATTAAAACTAATTGTTTAGATGGTAACTGCGTGATAAAAATGTATTAATTTTTTGTTTAAAAATTTAAGGGAATATTGGGTAAGAAAAACATGGTCCCAAAAACAAGACAAGAGAGGCCTAGAGCAATACAACTCTTTTCCATAATATGATTAAATTTTGGCCGGCCATGACGTAAATACTGCAATCATTGCTTCCAAGATGATAATAAATACTAAAAATTACCCCTTTTTTTGTAATTTTTCCCACGTTGCATGCTCAATGAAATGATATAATCTATATTTAGTTGATGACACGCATATAAAACCTGCAATTCAACACGTTTTTCTTTTAATTTCTTTCAATAAATTATAGAGTAAATTTTTTAGATTGAAGTAGATGAAGTTTATATCAGTCTCTAACGTTGTCATGCCTCCTCAATCATATGTTACTAAGGGCAATAGACAAATCTCATACTTATCAAATAACATTTGTTCTTTTTTTTTAAGTGGGGATGGTGATGGCCATCTCCATTGCATCTCGTTGGAGAGAACCGAGTAGTGAGAAGAACTGGAAGGGTCTACTTAACCCTATCGATCCCCATCTCCGTCGCTATGCCATTCATTACGGTCAAAGAACCATGGCTGTGGGTTACCTCCTCAACATGGAGTCATGGACAACCAATTTAATGGCTACCTCCATAGTCTGTACCCGGAAGACGTGTTTTTCACCGGCGCCACTCTCCAAAACAATAACTATTCAAGTACGTCGTCACCCATTTCTTCGACGTAGCCTCCAATGCTAATGAATCGGCCATGTGGCGATGAGCACCGACGAAGGGAAAATTGGTCTCGGAAGAAGAGATATTTTGGTTGCTTGGAGAGGAACGGCAACAGATGCCGAGTGGATAGATAATATCAACTTCACTCAAACTTCGCCGTCGGAACTATTTGGTGATGATAACAACGCTAAAGTTCACTCCGGCTTCCTTTCTCTTTACACCGGAACCACTCCAAAACCCCTATCAGTGCTCGACAACAGGTAGATTAAATCTTGAATCCTGATACTTGATTTGCGATTCTTTTAACTATATATATATTAAGAAACAACCGCCTCCGTCAGAAGTTTCCGACACCGAACGAGGTGGAACCATAGACGTAGCGGCTCAAAATTTGGATCTTCATCTGCATGCAATTGCTTTGGACCAAACTGGATTTGGTTTGGAAGTTGACCATGATGTTGCACTTTTAAACAAACAGTTGGACGCCCTCAAAGACTACTACAACATACCTCCAAAATAAGAGTGGCGGCGGCAAACACAACAATATGGTTCAAATGGACAACGGCCACCGGAAGTTTGTTCCAACTCCTTAATTATGAGTAGGGGCGAAACTCGACATTATTTGTTGGGACATTTAAAAAGTATTTGTACATATTCATCAAAATAGCATACTAATAAAAGAAAATTTTAAAAATTTTTAAAATTTATCCGTTCGCATAAAGATTAAAAAAAATGCATCGATAATAATATTATCTAGAATTGTGAACGACGTTCTTTTAAAGAAACAAAATCCTCAAGAATTGAATTTGAAGTAAAAGTCTCAGCAATCTCTCTTTCGATATTAATAATCAAATTATCTGCAAGAAATTCATCATCCATCTTATTTCGCAGTCTTGTTTTGATGATCTTCATAGCTTAAGTGGATGAGAAGGAAGTTGCCATCCATGCTTCCTCATTTCTTATTAAAATGTTACAATTTAAGAAAAAGTAAAACTAAAATAAAACAGAGACAAAAAGTATGAAACAAAAACAAAACAAAAAAGTTAGATTTATGTTTATACTTATTTTCTTGTATTTTCTCTTATTTTCCAGGTAAAATAAATACAACTCATCTCACTTGATCACCAAACCAAACAAAAGTAGCATTACCCCTTTTTACTTTCGCGGATTTAATCATCAAATCAAAATGAAAAGAATAAAAAAAAGAACTAGAACTTGATGAAGATAGGTATGGATTGCAATGTTATTTTTTTATTATTTGTGTAGTTTCACTCAATCGTAGCACTGCCTCATGTAAGGAAAGAGAAGGGACTGAAAGAAGAAACAAGGGCTAATATGGGTTTTTGGGTATTCTTTGTTTCATGAAGATGAAGTTAATGATAAGTTTAGATAGGCGTTGAGGTTTGGAGATTTATGATTAAGAAAAAGGATTTTGATTTTGATTTTAAATTTTATTTGACATTAATAATAATAAATGTGTCATGTCATACTAAAAATAATAATAAAATAATCTATGTCATCAAGAGAGATCAAAATACAAGTAATTTGAAAATTTAATGATTAAATTGAAATTTTTTAAATTTAGTGATCAAATTAGAATTGAGAAGATAGTTGAGTGATAAATCGTGTAATTTACTTAAATAAATATACCGTGTTGTTAACTTTTAACGATGAGATACTAAAATGAAATAAAAAAATAAACGTTAAGTATGATTTTGGAAAAAAATTAAAGTTGAGGTATTAAATAGGAATAAAAGTGATGGTTTAGATATTAAACATATAGTTTATCCTAAAAATTATAATTTAATTATAATTCTATTAAAATTATAATTAATTTATAATAAATGCTTAATTTTAAATAAATCTTTATACTTTTTAATATTTATAGAATAAGAATAAATTTATTTATAATGTATTCCTATATATTGTGATATAGAACGTAAACTGTAAAATTTTCTCATTCAGCCGAATAATTGGGAAAACAAACATGGACTACTGAGAATATCGTTGGATAGTAAAGAAAACAACACGACACTAATTTCCATTGGCCGGTGACCTAAAATTAGGTAATCGAAGCGCTCTCCTTCCCTCACAGGCACTCCCAAGTTCCGCCATAATCCAAAAAACGGCTCCGTTTCGCCTAAAAATCCTACAGATATTATTACGTACACAACTAAATAATCCTATACATATTCCCCCAATTTTCCACCACTTTTTTGAAAATTTGAAAATTTGCTTTCGAAAAATAGAAAGGAAAATCCATCGATGGTGATAAGCTGCTAACATATCATCATCGTCATCGTATTCGTATACGAGTGTTCTGGTGCAGATGGTGACATAGCATCAGAGAACGCAAATCGAGGGGAATTTGTTTTTTTTTTCGTCTTTTCTTGTTCGCGCTTGTATTGGGAGAGGGTTTTAAGAGAATACATAAATAGAAAAACCACATGGCAACGGCTTCTTTGATTCAAGTAGGATGTAGGTTTTCTCCTATTTTAAGTAATGCTAGCAATAATTGTAGCTTTAAAACCTTTTTGGTAGGTCCGTTCGGTTCAATCTCGTCTTCTTCCTCCTGCTCCTGTTCTTCATCTTCCAACAATTTGAATTTCTCTACAGGTAATGTCCTTTTATTTGATTTTTTTCTCTTTTGAAGTCATGATTGAATCTACTCCAAGAAATTTGGGATTTGATTTCTTTAGTAAATTTGATTCGATTTTATTCTAGTTAAAGTATTATTATTAGTGATCTAAGTTCGAATTTATTCTGATCTAGATTTAAATTTACTCCGTTTATTTGTTCGATCAAATTTTATAATGGTTGATTATGGTTATAGTTATGGAATGTTATATTATTTGTAATTAAATTTTTTATAATTCTTGTAACTCGAAGTAAAATATATTTTTCACTCATTCATTCTTCTTCCTTTGAGGAATTGAGATTTAACTAGGAATTTAGGGAATTGAAATATGTTAATTGGTGATGAATGTGCCAAAATTGCATTAATGGTCATTTTGAATTCTTGATATTGCCTTTTATGTTTGACTGACTCTTGATTTTGTCTTTAAACTTTTTAAAGGAACAAATAGTCACTGTAAACATCAAGGCCTTAGAGCTCAAGCAATGAGTACCACTGCAAAAGGTGACTTTGCCGCATCCAACCTTGTTGGAAATGGAAAAAACGAGCCCGATCACCTTCTTGTTCTTGTTCATGGCATCTTAGCTAGGTATGCATAATAGTATTGAATCAACAACTGACACTAAAATGTGATTTGTTATGTTTTTTTCCCGATTTTGATGTCGAATTGGTTGAAACATTTCCATAATGCAGCCCTAGTGATTGGACATATGCAGAGGCAGAGTTGAAAAGGCGGCTTGGAAGGAACTTTCTTATTTATGGTCTTTGTTCAGATTTTCAATCTCATGTAATTTGTTTGTATAAATATATTCAATTATGACTTATTTGTTTAATAATTTCTTGCAGCGAGTTCGGTTAACAGCCATACTAAAACCTTTGCTGGGGTTGATGGAGCTGGGAAGCGCTTAGCAGATGAAGTGAGTAGTTAATTTCATCTCAAACTTTTGAGTTTTGCCGAAGGACTTTCAGTTTGTTGCAGTGTTGATTACTCCCTTCACCTTGTTTCGCTTTAACAGGTTCTGCAAGTTATTAAGACGACAGAAAGCCTGAAAAGGATTTCATTTTTAGCCCATTCTCTTGGGGGCTTGTTTGCACGATATGCAATTGCTATGCTTTACTCAGAAAGTGACTCAACCCAGTCTGATAATGTACCAAATTCTTCAGATGGATATTTACAAACTTCAGTCCCTTCAAGGCGAGGACTGATTGCTGGACTGGAGCCAGTCAGTTTTATTACCTTAGCAACGCCACATCTTGGGGTCCTAGGGAGAAAGCAGGTTAATTCTTAATGTTGTTGTCTATTAAGTTTATTTCATAATATTTTAGGGTACAAATTGATGTTCATGTCCTATAACTCCAATGTTATTGCCATGCTTCTGCTATCTCAAATCCTGTTTTCAATGATTAAAATGTTTATATAGCTTTGGGTTGTACTACAATCATCTTTCATATGCATTTTGCAGTTTCTAATATTACTCTTTGTGGTGCCTCAGCTTCCATTTCTCTTGGGAGTTCCCTTTTTAGAGAAACTTGCTGCACCAATTGCTCCATTTGTTGTTGGTAGAACAGGTAAGCAACTATTTCTCACTGATGGCAAACCCAGCAGACCACCACTGCTTTTGAAGATGGCATCTGATTGTGAAGACGGAAAATTTTTGTACGTAAAGTGAGCTTTTACAGGACTAAAGACGCTTTTTTTTTACTACTACTACTACCACCACTACTCGTGGGAATACCATGAAGCCAAGTCCAGGCTGTTTCTATGACTGAATTTATGATTATAATTTCTATTTTGCAGATCTGCCCTCGGTGCTTTTAGGTCTCGCACTTTGTATGCAAACATATCTTATGATCGTATCCTTCCGAATCATTCGTCTTTTACTATATTTAACTACATATGTTGCTTTTCTACTCGTTATTCGTCTCTGCCACCCGATTGGAACTTTCTTTGACATCGGATAGATATGGTCGGTTGGCGTACATCCTCTATTAGGAGGGAGAAAGAACTTGTCAAGGTAAACTTTCTTGTAGAACCATAGTTCAAAATTAATGGGGGAAATGAAGTACTGAAAATGAGTCACATGATTTAATGCATACGCCTGACATTTATATGAATTTGGCAGCCCCCTCTGCGATCTTTGGACGGTTACAAACACGTCGTCGATGTGGAGTACTGTCCACCGATTTCTTCTGACGGCCCTCATTTCCCTCAGGAAGCTGCCAAAGCAAAGGCTGTGGCACAGAATGCACCTGATGCAAAAAATACGGTGGAATATCATGAACTCATGGAAGGTAATCGTTTCGGCTAACATATGTCGGCGTGGCATCTATATGATTATGATTCTCCTCAGACATTAACACACCCCATTCATTAACAGAGGAAATGATACGAGGTTTACAGAAATTGGGATGGAAAAAAGTCGATGTCAGTTTTCATTCGGTGCTTTGGCCCTTCTTCGCGCACAATAATATCCACGTATCGTTTCGATATTAGAACTTTGGATTTGGAAATTTGTTTTTCCTTTCAATTTCTCACATGATCACATCTTCTTACTGTTTCAGGTGAAAAACGAATGGTTTCATAATGCTGGCGTCGGAGTCATCGCTCATGTTGCAGATAGTCTCAAGCAACAAGAATCGTCCCCCTCGTATATTTCTGCAAGCATGTAGCCATGAATTACATGTAAGTGCATTATGCCATTACGCTTGAAGTATACTGTAAAAAGTAAAGTGTAAGATAGGATGAAGGAAATGAATTCTCACTCATTTACTCTTATCGATACGAGTCCTCCATATCTTCCAAAAATAAGCATGGGATTTCAATGCTTTCTCGGTGATTATCTCGTTTAGTGACTGATCGGTACTAAATTAATCACATAAATCGAACATTTCTTCTAAAAAATTTTAAGTACATCAAGTAGCCATCTAAGAATAAAAAAGAGACCAAGAATAGTGTTAAAAATCCAGCTAACACTAAGATTAATATATATATATATATATATATATATATATATAATAATGATGTCTCGATAATTTGACAATACAACAATTCAATTAGATATATTTTTAGTGATTGCGAATGTTTATCAATATCTATCTCAAGAATTCAAAACACGTATAGATCAATAAGATAAGCAAATAAATGTCATCCGGATATGGAGATGCAACGTCGAATTTAACAATAAAAAGAAAAAAATGTGTTATAAGAATAGATAAAATCATCTACCATTTTCCTACAAAAAGAAAGGATTAATTAAACAAAGAAAAAAACATAATCCACATTATAAGAGAAGCAAAAAAGAGAAGAAAAATTCAACGACCAATCTAAAATCGTACTGCCATCAATAATAAAATATTATTTTAATACTTCTATAAATTAATTACTATCAATAATCTTTACATCTATAGAAAAAACGCATATCCTGAAATTTTAATGGCCTTTAATTATATTATAATATTATCAATTTATTGTGATTTTTAATAACTTTATTTTCAATTAGCATTTACAATAACTTTTATTAGTATAGGGATAAAATTTAGTCACTTTGGTGAGTTGATCTAATAAGGTTATAAAAGTTAAGTGTGGAAAGGTTTCAATTTGTTAATAAGGGTATTAAAATTGAGTGGGAAGATGTATGTAAAACATGAAGGACTCTAATTATGTAATAAGGAAAATATTATAAAAAAAATTAAAAGCATTATCACCCATGAAAACTCGAGAATCTTTATATTTACTATAATCTTCTTTTTTAATAATTCTTCACCAAACTGATAGTAAGATAAACTGTAAATCACAATCTTTTAACATATACCATTATGAATTAAGTTGTATTAAGAATATGATAGAAATACATGGATAAAAGCAACTCAAATACTAAGCTACTTTTCAACCTTGTAGCTTTTGTATTGGTTGGGTCCAATCCAAGAAATCGATTCATTCTACTTCCCTACAAAAAATATCCAAAGATGAGTGCTCATCATCCAATCTCTTCAGATTTCATATTGAAATGCTATTAGGCACTCCTCTGCATGAAACTCCAGGTTCCGAAGATGGCACCAACAGCTGATAAGGTGAAACCCCAGCCCCGCATCGATTTCTAAGCTTCGGGTCGCTGTTTCTTTTTTCAATCTCTTTCTCAATTGCCCTCATCTCCATTGAAAACTAGAAAAACGCTTCTCTAATCTCTGGGTTTCCTTTCCATGTCCATACATCTTTTCGATCCCCTAAGTACTCTTCATCAGCTGAATGTGTGGATAAGATATACAGTACCGACATTAACACCGTCATATCTTTTAAACTTGGCAAAGATGATAAGAAATACCCTTCCGGATCCGAAACGAAACTCGGGTAATCCGGATCGTCTTGGTTCGGGATGAGCCGTCGCATGTACGACGGACGTACGGGGACATATCCGCCGTAATGGTACTGCCCGAAGTTGAGAGCGGCATGTTCTGCCGATGAAATCCAAATGAGGGTGGTTAGGATGGAGATGAGATCCTCCGGAGTCGAAAGCTTGGGCCACCAGGTCTCATGGCGGAGATCAACATGGCCTACGTTGATGGACTCATAGTACCATGCATTGAGTTCTGGATCGGATCGAATACTAATTGAATCTGGGTAGTAATAATTCACGTAGTCCTTAACCAGTCTCTCAATGGCTGACCATATAAGTAACCCATCATTGGCGTATGGATAGTCTTGGATGTGTAATTTTATGCCATGCGGCTCCGTTGGGTCTGGTAATGCAATCCCTCTGCATTACAAAAGTAAAATTCGAAATCGATCTTAATACCTAAAAGTTTAAATAAAACCAAGTCGAAATCGAGCCGAACAAGAAACAACCCTGTTGTATACCTGCGGATGAGGTCAGCAGGGAGGGATTCCATGTCGAAGCGCCAGTTTTTGAAAGCAAAAGAAGTAAGCTCCATTGAATATTGCTTAGTGGAGAAGAGAGACTCAATTAATCCGCCGGCGCTAATGAGAAGCTCACGAGCTCTGGCGTTAATGTCCAATGTGTATCGCATGTGAGGATGAAGAAGCTTGTGAACCGGATGCATTACACTCAAGTTTTGTCGTGCTGCTATGATAAACGTGTTGACTAGCACCGAAAGGTGCCTAAATTAATGCACCGAAAGGTGCATGGCCCCTTTTATTGAAAATATAAAAAATGGGATAATTCAATTTAGTCACTAAATTTTAGGGTATTTACAAATTAGTCCTTAGGTTTCAACTATAAATATCCTAGCTCATTTAGCTTCAAAATCATCCCAAAGCATTTTAGCTTTCTTCCAATACTAGAGAGATTTTAGAAAGTTTCTTGAGAGTTGTTTTCTCATTTTTATCTAGAGAGAATTATCATTGTTTTCTCCTTGGTAGATCGAGAGAGGTTGTAATTCCTATTTTCTCATAGTGAAATTCTTCTACCGCTGCCCGTGGTTTTTACCCTAAATATTTTAGGGGTTTTCCACGTAAATTTTGTGTCTCTTTTATCTTCATTTTTATTTTCTCAAATTATCAGTTGCGATTTTGCTCTATCCGATAGCCGTCTTCCGCAACAATTAGTATCAGAGCTAGATTAGAGTGTATAATATCTGCTTATTGTCTTTGTGGTTGCCACCAAAAGGTGGATCCTCCAACATAAGAAAGTAAGAAGTTATTACCCATTCTTTGAAGGTTCCAGATAACTATTCACGATAGTGAAATAGTGGGAGTTATCCGTAAAAGAAGCTATGGCAACGAAATTTGATATTGAAAAGTTCAATGGGAGAAATTTCTCATTGTGGAAATTAAAGATGAAGGCCATCCTGAGGAAAGACGGGTGTCTAGCGGCTATCAGTGAAAGGCCGATGGATTTTGCAGATGACAGCAAATGGATCGAAATGGACGGAAATGCTATGGCAAACTTTCATCTAGCATTAGCAGATGAAGTATTGTCAAGCATCGAGGAGAAAAAGACAGCTAAGGAGATATGTGATCATCTCACCAAATTGTACGAGGCCACATCGCTGCACAATAAAATTTTCCTTAAGAGAAAATTGTACACTCTCCGTATGCCAGAATCTACTTCAGTGACGGAACACTTAAATACACTGAACACTTTATTTTCTCAGCTTACATCTTTAAGCTGTAAAATAGGAGAACAAGAACGTGCTGAACTTCTACTTCAAAGTTTACCGGATTCGTATGATCAACTCATCATCAACTTGACAAAGAGTAATGTCACCAGTCTAGTCTTCGATGACGTTGCAGCTGCTGTTCTACAAGAAGAAAATCGGCGCAAGAACAAGGAAGATAGACAAGTAAATCTGCAACAAGCAGAAGCGTTGACAACGATGACAACGATGAGAGGGAGATCAACAGAACGTGGCCAAAGCAGCAGTCACAAACATGGTAGATCGAAGTCGAGGAGCAAGAAGAATTTAAAGTGTTACAACTGTGGAAAGAAGGGTCATCTGAAGAAGGATTGTTGGAGTCTAAATAAAAACTCCAATCCACAAGGCAATACCGCAAACACTTCAGATGATGGAGATGCTCTATGCTGTGATGCGTCAACCACCGTGGAAGGAAGAAAACAATTTGCAGATATATGGCTCATTGATTCGGGAGCAACATATCACATGACCTCAAGAAGAGAATGGTTCCATCATTATGAACCTGTCTCAGGAGGATCTGTTTATAGTTGCAATGATCATGCCTTAGAGATCGTTGGCGTGGGAACCATCAAATTGAAGATGTATGACGGAACAATTAAAGTTGTTCGAGATGTGCGGCACGTGAAAGGCCTGAAGAAAAATTTATTATCCTACGGATTGTTGGATAATAATGCAAGCAAGATTGAAACACGGAAAGGAATCATGAAAGTGTTCCGTGGAGCGCTTGTGGTACTGAAAGGCGAAAAAATAGCTGCAAACTTGTACATGCTGAAGGGAGAGACTTTGGTAGAAGCAGAAGCCTTTGTTGCCTCATGTAGTTCAGATTCGGCAATGCTATGGCATCAGAAACTTGGACACATGTCAGAACAAGGAATGAAAGTCCTTGTGGAGAAAAAGCTACTTCCAGGCTTAACAAAGGTATCACTTCCTTTGTGTGAGCATTGCATAACAAGTAAGCAGCACCGGTTGAAATTCAACACATCAAATTCTAGAGGCAAAAGTGTTCTAGAATTGGTTCACTCTGACGTATGGCAAGCACCAGTAACGTCCCTAGGTGGAGCAAAATACTTTGTCTCATTTATTGATGACTACTCCAGGAGATGTTGGGTGCACCCTATTAAGAAGAAGTCAGACGTGTTTTCAACTTTCAAAAACTTCAAAGCGCGGGTGGAACTTGATTATGGAAATAAGATCAAGTGTTTCAGAACAGATAATGGAGGAGAATACACAAGCGAAGAATTTGATGACTTTTGCAAGAAAGAATGCATCAAAAGAAAGTTCACAGTGGCGAATACTCCTCAACAAAATGGAGTGGCAGAGCGGATGAACAGAACCTTGTTAGAAAGAACAAGAGCAATGTTGAGGGATGCAGGCCTAGAAAAATCATTATGGGCAGAAGCAGTCAATACCGCTTGTTATTTGGTGAATCGAGCTCCATCAACTGCAATAGAGCTGAAGACACCAATGGAGATGTGGACTGGTAAATCAGTTGATTATTCAAACCTCCATGTATTTGGATGTATTGTGTACGTGATGTACAACGCCCAAGAAATTTCAAAGCTGGATCCAAAATCCAGGAAATGCAAATTCTTGGGGTATGCTGATGGAGTAAAGGGGTAT